ATTTTAAATCTTAGAAAGAGTAGAAAACGCGTATAGACTAGAGTTATCGATATTAATAAAGATATATCTAGTAATATCTCTCGATCGATTAAGAAAGATATCTAAAGACTCTCTTTCCGAATAAGTAAATAGTCTCTTATTAGTAATTAAAGTTAATAGCGAAGTAGAATAGAAAGTAGAGAAGATATTAATAGTAAGATAGAGATAAGAAAAACTATAATATAGGATAAAGTAGCTAGACTAGGACGACGATCCGGAATAGTACTTAGCGTCCGACTTTAAGAATACGCCTTATAAAGTGAGAGATTATTATATAGCGAACCCGAATAAGCTAGATCCGTCTAGACGCTTGAAGAAATAGATACGGAACTAGGAGAATAACGAGACTTTAACGGAGTATAAAGATAACGATAAGCCTAAGGATAGACTTACTTAGAGAGAGAGGTAATATTACGGCCGTAAGTATAGATAGACTAGATCTAACTAGATCTAGCTAGATCTAACCCGACTTAATAATACGTTCTATATCGGTTAATATAGCGCTAAATAAAGACGAATCGTAACGGACCGATATTATCCCGGACGAGATACGGAATAAGTATATATCTCTAATTAGTTATATAGAAAGAGCGCCTTAGTATATCGGAGTCTTAGTAGAGATAGTCGCTATATAAAAGTATAGCGCCGTACCCTTTCTCTCCTTCCTTCCTTTCTTCTTTCCCTTAGTTTAGTCTCTCGTTATATAGGAATATATATCCTTAGAGCCTTCTCCATTTCATATGTGCCCTACCGTTATAATAGGGATACTTCTCCTATACGAGTCACGTGCTCTTCTGCTGTGTTAATGACACTACGCAAGAATGACGGCGACTATCCGGCCAAGTGCAGTCGAAGCAGTACCTTCGTCATAGGCACCGCCAACGCCGCCGACAAAGAAGGGGAGTGGAACGGCGACCGCGAAGTCGACTTCATCTTCCCGGGCATCGAGCTGTCGGTGCTGTCGCACGACGACCTCTTCGATCGCACCCTCGGGACGACGCTCTCCCGCACCGGCAGTTCGCTAGCCACAGCTCTGGCCGCCGGTTTAGCCGCCGTCATCCTGTTCTCGGTGGCGCTCAACAACAAGGCCGACCTGCCGCTCGTCAGAAACCACGACGGCATGAAGAGAGCATTCAATGCGGTTAACAATCCCAACAAGGCCAAGAGCACAAAGTTCATCCGCGTGTGGGACCTGTTTGGCCTGGTGCAGGAAGGGAGGGAGAAGACAGCGCGGGATATGCTGCAGATCGTGGTGAACAAGCTCCTCGCCAACCTGCGACGATTACGAGCGAGTTGAAGTTGGCATTCCAGCTGGCTGTGATGCACCCTGCGATGTAGACTAAGCATGAGGGAGATCGAAGTACAATATGTGTCTGGCCATACTCAAGCAATGCCTAAAGAGTACGCCAGTAACTCACACTGTATACTCCGTAGTTGAGAAACATGACCTAAAATTCCCAAGAAGCTAGTGCGTTGCTGGTGGATTAACGGGTCCTTCTCATAGGCAATAGCAATAGGGTTTGGGCGGAAAAAGCGGCCACTCCCGCGCTGAGAATGTATTAGTGCTGAGCCTCCTTTAATGCCATCCATGGCAACAACAACCCAAGGAGTGTACGAGGTAGGAGGTCTCAGAACCCGTTGGGATTCACCTCAGACTCCAAACCGACCATGCGGCTTTCAAAACACCCGCCTCGCGACTTCTCGCTCCGCTCAGCGAGTTCTTCGACTTCATTCACGTTGTGCTCACTATCCATGGCTATGGTCAGTGATCAGGATGACTACATGGTTTGGAACTAGCCAGATACTACATTTACCAATTTTCATTCATAAGCACAGGGATGTCAATGCTTGTCAGCTTGGTGCCTTCCGTCCACCAGCTGAGCAGATAAACCGCTCCATCCCCCCAGCGACGACAAGGTCGGCCTTGCTGATGATCTGGCACAATAGAAAGAGAAGCCTGACACACAGGAATCGTCGTGCCAGTCAGCATGCCTCGCGCTGAAGGTGTGCACGCCCTGTGCTGTGATCTCGTCCCGCTGTTCAGGATCAAGGGGTGGCACACTTCTATATTCTAGAGACTAACCAGACGGCTGAGAGTCAGGACATCGTACGGTTGTCACTGCCCGAACTTCGAGGCCATTATACCAACCACAAAATTCTTTGTTGTCGGATTTTATCATTTCTCGTCTCGCTTCTCTTGAGCCGGGAATCATTGGCACCCTCTCCGTCTTCTTCACTCCAGCCAGTCTGCGGTCCGAGCGCACTTTTCGGAAGGGTCACGCTTTTCAAGCCAGTCTGCCGTCAAAGACCCCGTCTCGGAGGGCTCTCTCCTTTCTAGCCAATCTGCCGTCAACGAACCTTTCTCCGAGGGTTCACGCTTTTCCAGCCAGTCCGCCGTCAACGAGCCCGCCTCAGAAGGTTCGCGCTTCTCCAACCAGTCTGCCGTCAGAGAACCTTTCTCCGAAGGCTCACGTTTCACCATAGGGGCAGAGATTGGCTGAGGCCCGCCCTTTTGTCATCAGCAAACGAACACTGGGATAGAGATTCCTTTGGACGTACAATGATTGGAAGGCCAGCAACCAGCTGGGCGCCAAACACAATGGCCAGAAATGCCGTGGAGGACCGCATGATGGTAGCCGGGTGCGGGGCTTTGGAATTGATATTGAAGGGAGGTGAAACTCTGGGCAAATATCAGTTTGATGTCGCTGGAAAGCTGAGAGGTACCGAGACGAACGGCTTCATCTCGATTACCTCGCCTCTTTATACCCGAGTTCAATAGTGAGGCTCGGTAATTCTACTTTTGGCCAGTTTGTCCTACCTGGGTAACGATATCCGTTCCTCGATGTCCTCCCAACAGTGGCGGTAACGGAGAAATCCTCCCGCCAACCCCGAGCACTGATCCCGAGCCAAATTCTCGACGTCGATACTCGGACGCCGCTCAGGAAGGGGTTTAGCACTCCTCTTACGACGCAGGTTGGTCTCCGTCTATCACGCTACAAACTGCACGACGCAATCCTGAAGGTACTTGGGGCATCGGTCCGCAGAGAGCTCAAAAGCTTTAGCGTCAGTAGGCGAGAAAGTGGAGAATCAGAAGGACGGTGGATCGGGGACCATACGGGAAAGTCCCTTAGATTTTGAGCAAGTCAGTCATCGGTGGAGATCTACTCTGTAGCGTCGCGCAGAGGGGGTCATATGTCGTTGCTTCCCACGAATTTAAAACATCTATCGAGGAATCTACCTTGACAAAGATGGGTAATTGGTCAACAGGGGCAGTGGTAGACAGTCAGCACGTACTTTTGACCCGAGCGTGCAGCGGAATGTTAGCACTCGAGGAGCACCGACAAGCATAGATTCTAGACGCTGCCAGCAAGTACTCTTCGACTCGATAGACGCTAGAGTGGGACTAGCTGTAGAACCACCTTCTACTTCGGGCTATGTTTTCTATCCACCGTGATAAGCGTTAGGTTACTGTAATAAGCGCTAGCTTTGGAGTTTCCACGCGCCATGTCTCCATACGAGGTACAATCCCCAGAAAGCCTGAGCCTTAAATGTTGGAATTGTTCATAAGCACTAAGGGTTCGGTCGCAAGAAGCGGTCCCCGCTCCCAGATCTGTCCACCTCGATAGGGCTTAGATATCGATGAGCTCGTATGCCGATTGCCGAGGCGCGAACGGTGTTCAGGCAAACTATGAAAAGTGGCCAAAATGCATTGTTGTGCAGCTTAAGGAGAACCGTGCAATCGCCTGAGGCACGCTGGATCTATAGAGGGCAGGAACGAGAGGCTGATAACTTGGAACAACGAAGAAGCAAGATACCATCCGGGCTGGGTATTGCGTATAGTGAGTGCCCTTTCTCTCCTTGCGGAGATCGCCATTAACGGAAAGATGAACGAAGCACAGCGCATCGTATAGCGGTCCGTGCTTTACGTAAAGAGGATCGAGCTCTCGGTCGTCCTTGCTGATTGCAGATGCGTTGAGAACGAGGCGGTGAGTTCGACGGTAAGAAGCTCGAGGAACGGGTTTGAGGTTGACCATCTACCGCCAGTAGTATTCAAAGAAAAGCCAGGGATGGCACAAGCGCGGTCCTAGCTTGCGGTGCGTGGCTCGTAAGTGTACTGTAGCATAGCAAGCGGGATCCACCATCCTTCGCCCAGTCCACCGCACCACCTCCGCCTATACCTCGAAGCGTCTTTAACCCGAAGTGGTAGCTGTCTAGGTATTCGGGATATTGTGTCCAGGTATGGTATCGAGTCATTGCTTAGGAGGAAGACCGAGGACCCCAGGAAGTTTTTAGATATGACTGTCTCTCCTTTGACAGATTGGGCATCTCAAACATCCATCGCTCTTACCTTGCCCAGCCCCCAAAAGCCTCTTCTCCTTGCTTCTGTAGATTCAGAGAACTTGTCTCGCTTCACAATGGACTCGGCCGAATCGTCGTCGAAGAGCCTGTTGTTGACTTACCGCGACTCGCTCTCTGACGGCGTAGAGGAGGCGTTGTACCATACTGAGAAAAGACCTGTTCATCGGAAATGTCCATTCCCATCACTTTATACTGCCATTCTCCACCTCGCCATCCTCCTTCTGGTCGCTGCAGTGATTGTTCTACATCGGCGGGCCGGAAAGGGACAGATTCATGATCCCATGCTCCAGCTATACTGTGAGAATTAGCCCATCGAGAGCGTCATATAGAGTCTCAAGCCGCTACTAATTCGCCGTGTATCCAGCTCCTGTCAACGACCACATTGAATATGAAATCAAATTGATCAAAGGAGGCTTTGCATTCAGCAATGACCCCGACGCAAAGGCATACGTTGGGCCTAGCAACGCCACGAACCAACTGTGGTTAGATCTGTACCAATATTGTTCGTGACGAAATCTTCCGTCGGATCGATATCGTGGGATAACTGAAAAATTGACATACCTCGCAACAGCGGGACCGAGCATCATTTCCGCCGAAGAGAATGCTCTCCTCCCTCAAAAGACTTCGAATATTAAGGGCCATCCAGATAAGCACGCCATGATCCTGGAAGTCTTCCACGAGTTACATTGCCTGGTAAGCAACATGACCGGCCATCTCCCACCCCTCACAGATGTATTAGTAACTCTGACCGTGTACTCAGGATCGTATTCGTCAGAGTCTGTACCCCGAGATATTCGGATGGGTGACCTATCCGGACGGAACCAAGGACACGAAGAAAATGGGCCACCTCGGTATGTTTCACACGCCGTCTTGCCCACATAAAGACAAGGGAGACAAATTGAAGACTGAGACAACATCGACTGACTCCCATTTCATCTCGAGTAGAGCACTGCGTCGATCTGCTGCGACAGACAATCATATGTGTCGGGGACACGAGCGTGGGGATCTTCCAGCGACAAGAAGACGGCTCCTTGAAGGCCGATTCGGACGTCTTGAGGGTGTGTAGAAGCTTTGAGAAGATCCACGAGTGGGCTGCAGGGCGACATGCCCAAGTCGCCGTAGCGTGATTTTCAGAACTTGTTCTCTCGGTATCTGAGCCGTCGTTCGACAAATCGAGATTTGAAACGCCCGGACAATACCGCCTTGACCCGATACTCAGTTTATTGAATTCTCCGTAAAAACTTGGTTTACCCAAAGAGAGCGAGATTTCGTCTCAGCGTGGACTCGTTGGGCTCCGACGATGTCGTTCAGATCCAGCGTCAGGGAAGGGGGCGGTTAGATAAAGGCGAAAATAGGAACCAGAATCGAACAATCTACCTGACATCTAAATCTAGTCGGAGGCAACCCACATGGTCCAGGCCGAAAAGGTGCACACCCGGCCCCCGAAATCGCCGTCAGAAGCAGCAGGGAACCGCGGTCTGGGAGTTTGCCCGAGGGCTCGAAACGGCGGTCTTATAGAGCCCGTTTCCAGGTATCACCGTATTCCCGACGGCGCCTTGCCGTAATAGGTAGGTACTTACGGCCTGAATAGGCACTTGTATATCACAGGCATGTCATGTTCTACCAGAGCAAAAACCCCAATCGAATATGATAATTCTTCGACTGTCCGGCTTTTGACCCCTTGGCCCCCAAGCAAAGAATAGAGCTGAAACTGAGAGCATGTTCAATTGACTCCGGCTGATGTCTTTCATGGGTCAAGGGTGGTGTGCACAGACGAAACGGTGCGGTCTTGTAGAGACTGTTTCAATAGAGCCACCACTTTTGCAGGGGGATCGAGACTGTTTACACACTGCTCTACTCTTGCAGCTCGATCCTGGGGCCGTGATAGTGCCTTCGGCCATGGAGGAACCAATTAATGACGACTATCACCCCAACAATACCAATCATCACGGAACTATAATCTAACTTTGGCGTCAGTATATGTGGCAGGACAAAAGAACGAAACGAAGGAAGGTGAGGAATAGTGAGATGTACTCATGTTGCTGGCTGTGACAGGCCTGAACGGCGGGATGCAAAAGACTCCGATGAACAGGAGTCCAAACACGACGACGAGGATGTTGGCGGTCCAGCCGATCACCGGGGGAAGGCGGAAGGCTCGATTCGGAGGCAAAAACTCGGGCGACCGTCGTCGATACAGCAGGAGGGCCGCCGGAGGAATAAAAGAGATCTGCTGGAGGACAAACGCGGAGGAGAGGATGGCATTGAAAGCTAATTGAGGGTTCAGTTCGTCGAATGGAGGCGAGCAGTCGGGACAATCTCACCGGTTTGGGATGCCACAAAGATACAGCCACAAATCACCAAGATGACCCAGTTCAGGAGCAAGGCATTGACCGGCACCTCCAACTTTGGGTGGATGGTCGTCAAGTATTGTGAAAACAACAACCCGTTGTCGCGTGCAAAGGACCAGGTGATGCGACTCGACGTCTGGACGATCGCATTCAGCACAAACCAGCTCAAAACCACGCCCACGGCCGTGAAAATCGCAGCTGCCGTCTCGCTCCGCATGCCTTGGGCGTACACTTCAAATGTGATGTAGCTAACAGACCACGGGTTAGTACTGTTCGGAACATGACCAGCCAACCGTGGAAACATACCCCGAGATCTCCAAAATGGCATCGATATCCGTGATCGAGTACAAAAGAATGATCGAGAAGGGGAACGCGGTAAGAAAGCCGATGGTCACCGCCAACATTGTGGCGCGAGGAACCACCTTTCTCGGATTCTGGCACTCTTCGGCGAGGTGGAGCGTGGAGTCGATGCCCGCAAACATGAAAGCCGTCGTGAGGAGACCAGTGAGGAAACAGAGCCCGTCCGGCCAGCCCGTCTCATTGATGAAGGTGCCCCAGACGAACTCCGAGGGTGCCTTGGGAGAGGAACGAGCGAGGAGTGTGATGGAGGTGGTCACGAACAGCGTGAGGGTGAGAGCAACTATATGGCGAATCAGGAGATCAGCATCGAGTCAAAGGCCGGAGGAGTCGATCGGCTTACATCCGACATCGTGGAGCCGCGGCGTCCTCTTGAGGACAAAGATATTGATCACTAGCACAAACAGGGCCAGGACTTGGTAGATGAGAAATTCGTGCCAGGCCTTGGGCACGTAGCCTGGGTTATACGCGGCGACCATGGCAACGATCTGTTCGGCCGGAACCATCAAAACTGCAGCACCGATGGCCACCCAGGAAAAGACGGCGAAGATTCCACAGATGTAGGATAGAAGCAGAGCCGTCCTCTCCGGAGCAAGAATGGAGACGAAGTGATATTGCCCACCGGCCGTAGGATAGACACTGGCCAACTCGGCCAAGGTGAGAGCCAGGCTCAGTGCAGCGGTGGTGCTGATGAACATGCCATAGAGGAGGGTCACCGGCCCGCCTTGCAGAATGACAATCTGCAATGTTGCCGCCACACCGGCCCAGCTGTTACAGATGTTGAAGCCCAGCGCGATCAAACTCAACGGGCCGATATTTGCCTTGACATTGGCCTTGGTGAGATTCAGCACCTTCACCTCGCTTTGCTCGATGGAGGAGACCTCCTCGAGACCTGTCTCGAATTTGGTCTCGGTGATGGACATGGCTTTGGGTTCTGCAAGATGAATTAGTTGGCTGCACGTGGTTCCGAAGAAGCGGAAGAAAGGTAGGGGGTTTACTCTGTGGTGGCTTTGAACGGTCGTCATCCATCATATTTCTTCCTTTGCGGCCACGGTCAATGTGCGGATGAAGACACAGAGATAGGAATCTGAAAGATGCAGTCAGGTCGAGATCCCTGATATTTGTGTTCTTTGAGCATCACCGCCGCGGGCTCTCCTCAGACATCCTGCACAACGCCAACCATAGAGGACACGCCCGAGCCCTGTCCATGGACGAGCAGGGCGGTGGGGTGCGGGCGCGCTTCGTAGTCTCTTAAGCGCGTCAACATCTGGGCCGTGCCCGACAGCCCTTGGATTGGAATCAAAAGGATGCCTCGCATCCTGACATTCAGTATTCGGCCGACACCTCCACCTCATCGCTCTTGCGGAGCTCGCGCTTGAGATAGCGGTAGAGAGATATGAATAGGGCACGAACCGCGGCAAAGAGTTTATCTCTTACGATAGGAAGCGTAGGCGGATGGTATTCTGGAGATAGTGGCAGTCCCCATTCTAAGGCGAGCCGGCAAAAGATCCCAAGGTGGATTAGTTAGACGGCGCGTAGAGTTGCGGAGTGGAAGCGAAGCCACGAACACAAGCAGGGAGGAGAGTCGGTCAAGGGATGGGCCAGGCGGTGACTTCGCTGACTACCCGTCTAGGCCATTCAAAGACGAATGATGAAGCTGAAGGTGCTATGAATAGTGAACGCGTTTAAATGGACTTCGACCAACGCAACACCGCGATTCGCGATACTATTTCACCCCCGCACAGGACTAGTTCCGATTGTGGACCCAGATGGGGTACTAGGGATTTCTTATTCCCGATTCCTTTGGTTCCTGATAGATCTCCGTCACCTCCATCGGAGCGTGAACACCTTTTCTAGAAGCTCTGCATCGCCGCCAGTCGATTTGCGTGTGCCCGCTGTGCCACACTCGTCTCGGGCGCAAGAAACTCAAAGGCGTGCGGCACCCCGGGATACAGGTGGAACTCGACGTCGATGTTCTCCGCGACCAGTCTGGTGGCGTATGTCATGTCCTCATCGCGGAAGATGTCCAGCCCACCGACGTCGATGAACGTGGGCGGCAGTCTAGCCAGGCTTTTCGCCCGCGCCGGGGCCGCGTACTGGGACACGTCGGCGTCCTCCTTCCCTGCTCGACTCCCGAGCAACGCCGTCCAGCCGGTGACGTTGTCGTCGTTGGTCCAGAGCGCATAGGGCTCGATCGCCTTGTCGGCGACCATGTTGCGGTCGTCCAGCATGGGATAGACGAGGATCTGCTTTGCGAGAGGGGGTTGCAGGTTCTGGTCTCGCGCCATCAGGGCCACCCCGGCGGCGATGCCACCTCCGGCGCTCTCTCCCATGACCGCTATCCTGGCTGGATCGATGTTGAACTGCTTCGCATTCTGGGTGAGCCAGACCAGCGCAGCATAACAATCATCTACAAGGGTTGTGTCTTGATGTTCGGGCGCCAGGCGATATTCGACGCTGAAGACAGGCACTCCAGTCCTCTCGACCACCGAGGCCAGGGCGGGTGCAAAGGCCGCGACCGACCCAAGAATCATCCCTCCGCCGTGACAATGGAGAATGGCCGGGCCTAGCGCTGAGCGGGTCGTCTTTGCGGCGAACCTGTAGACCGGAATCTTGAACTCGTCGGCGGCCTCGACTTCGTGCACGCTCTGATCCACGTCCTTTGCCAGCGCGACACGACTCATCAGGAGACCGAGTTCGGCGACGCCCCTTTCCCGATGTGTTTGAACGTCGTGCAGCCCCGGTTTCGGCAACGTCGCTACGGCTGGGAGCAAGGGCGCCACCGCTTCATAATATTCGGGGTCAACAGAGAGAGGCATTTTGTTGACGAAGTACAGTATTCGCGGATAGGTGAAGGTCGGAGAGGCTGGCCTAGTACTACGAGCAGGTAGCCATCAGCATTTTTAATACAAGGAGCTCCTTAGGGTGTCGGATGGAGACCCGAGGCTTAGCTCGAACCATCCAACACTTCCGGGAACCCCGTCTCATGGCTGGACCTAGAGCTAGAAATTCGTTCTAAAAGGACGGATGATGGAGTCTTGACGGCTACAACCGCGGTGCTTGCTAGTGCACAGACAATCACTTGAAACGGAAAGGGATTTTGGAGAGTGTGAGAGGTCAAGAGTCGTCGTCAAGTATTGTAGTATTCAGCGGCCACAGAGCACCTTATCTTGGTGTGAAATATAAGCTACGACACTAGTAATTATGACTATAAAATAGCTCCAGAAATCTATAGATCTAGCTAGTTTTAAAGACCTTATATACTCTTTTATAGATAGTAGTAACGCCAAAAACGCCCGAACCCGTAATATTATAACTAGGCTTTGACATGGGCCGGGTCGGCCCGACCTAGATTAAGTCAAGTCGAGTTCCGGGTCGGGTTTAGGTTAACTCCTATCTAGTCTAATAATAATCTAATTAATTAGATTAGTTTACTCTCTAACTCGACTGAATAATCTATAAATAGCTCGAAGTTTAATTTTTAAGATTATATCTTCTTAATAGAGTAACTAGATCTTTAAAAAGGACTAGAATCGCGAGATAACGATAATATTAATCGCGATATCTATATATATAGACTAGATATATAAAATCCAATACTAGAATAACTATCTATAGTAGTAATATTAGTAGTAATAGTACTAAAATTATTAAAATTAATCTCGTTATCGACCTAGTGCGAGATATAGATCGGACTCGACCCGACTTAATCTCGACCCGATATATTTCGAGTCGGGTGTAGGCCGGCCGTTAGCTAGCCTAATAGCCCGACGAGTCGGGTTATCTACCCCTGAAACCCCGACCCGACCCGGTCTATGTCAAAGTCTACTAATAGGGCTTAGCTTACTATATTTAACCAACCCTACACATCATATACCTTGAATCCAGCCTGCTTCGGGCTTACCTTTCCAGCTTGTTTGTAATTATTGAAGACAAAAAGCCCCTACATCAAAACCAAGGTTTGGAGAAGTGTGAACCAATATTGATCGCATGGGTTAATGCCAGCAGCTGGTCATGCGTGATGTGCTCTGATCTTCAACTAGAGACATACAGACAGGACGGTACGCCGACCTCAAGGCAGTGAGTTAACTGAAACATTTCCCCGTGAGAGAAGATCCCTAATATCCTAGCCGAAGTTGAGCGGCCACTACTGCTGGGGAGAGTGGGACTCGTGATACTTTGGAGGACTTACTGTTTCATAAACTATCTCGCATAGTATTATTATCATACTTTCCTAGGATTCCTGACCTCTATACACCGACTGTAATACTCTTGACCTCGGTGTACTCGTCCAATGCATGCCTACCACCCTCGCGTCCCGTACCACTGTCCTTTATGCCTCCAAACGGCTGCTCACAGGCACTAATGAGGCCGACTCTGACACCGACCATTCCTGCCTCGAGCTCCTCGCTAACCTTCCACACCCGCGAGATGCTCTCCGTATAGAAATACGCGGCGAGGCCGGTATTAGTGTTGTTGGCTAGAGTAATAGCCTCGTCATCTGTATCAAAGGGGACTAGGAAGGCTAGGGGTCCAAAGGTCTCTTGTTCCATGAACAGCATGTCCTTGGTCGCGCCCTTGATAATTGTAGGTGGGAAGAAATTCGGACCCCATTCAGAGATGCCGTTGGTAGGGCCACCGTAAATGATCTTCGCGCCCTTATTGGTTGCGTCTTTGATCTGCGCATCGATTTTCTCGAAAGCCTTTGCCGAGTATAACGGGCCGAAGTTACACTCAGGATCCCACACGGAAGCGAAATGGAAGGTTGTGTCGAGTTTCTCAGCCAGCACGGCGGCGAAGGTGTCGATAATCTTGGACGACACAAAGATGCGGTTGGCGCAGACGCAGGTCTGACCAGACGAGCGGAATTTCGAGCTAATAAGACCCTCGGCGGCCTTATTGAGGTTGGCATCCTCAAATACAATAAAGGGCGCGTTGCCACCTAGTTCCATCGAGGTCTTTTTAAAGGTCTTTGCGCATTCGCTGTGTAGGTAGCGACCGATGGCGGTCGAACCCGTAAAGGACAGGTGGCGCACGAGTAGATTCTCAGTGAACTCCTTACCTACGTCAGATGCACGGCCAGCAGAGGCGGTGACGATGTTTAACACACCGGGAGGGCCACCGGCACGTTCGAATAACTTAGCCACAGCGATGGCGCATAGAGGAGTTTCAGGGGCCGGTTTGCAGACGACAGTGTTACCGGCGGCGATAGCGGCGCCGACCTTGCGAGTAATCATGGCGATAGGACTATTCCAGGGGGTAATGGCTACGATAACGCCCTGAGGCTGCCGGATGGTGAAGATACGGTTATCGCTCTTTGCGGCGGGGATGGTCTCGCCGTACTGATGCTCAATGGCGCCCTCGAACCAGTCGATGAAGTCGGTGCCGTACTGGAAAGTTGTGCCTTGTCAGCGGAGGAAACCGGGCCAAGCTAGGAGAATGGAAAGGTAAAGGTAAAGGGAAAGCTGGATGGCCAGTGATGGGTCGCGCAAAGCCTCAGCTTCGGCGACCTGACCTTACGACGCTGATACCAAACAAGAGAGAACTACCGACCTTAACCGTCACCAAGGACTCCTTGAAAGGTTTCCCTAGCTCCAACGTACAAATGGCCGCCAGGTCATCCGCGTTGGCCTTGATGAGGTCTGCCCAGCGACGCATCAGCCATCGTCGATCCCGGTGCGAGACCTTTCTGAATGTCTTGAAGGCCGTGTGGGCAGCGTCGATGGCACTCTTGATATCGTCCCGCGTCAGGTCCGCGATATCCCAGACTTTTTTGTTATCCGCGGGATCTATAATCTGTCGGTCAATACCTATCTTTGACTGTGTTGTCGCGCAGTCTCATCTCACCATAGACAGGGAACTTCTCGCCCTTAGAACTCTCGACCCATCGACCACCGATGAAGGATCGATGGTCGAGCAGGGAGGCATCCTTGAACTGCGCAGTCACTTTGTCAGAAGTACAGCCAATACAAGTGCCGGATGAGCAGAAGATGGTGCGCCCTTACAGTGTAAGGAATCTCCTTGCACAGGATCTCCGTCATGTTTGTTTTGCCAGAACAGCCCGCTGCACTACGTTGAGACTGGGGTAAGATATGATTGATGTGCCAGTGTCCCTTGATCATGAGACATCGATTCGGAGTCAGTTGGTTTTGTTTCTCGCCGGTTCACCTTTAGATGAACTGCCCTGCCCGGCTGGAGACCAATTCTCCATTCGATTCGGGCAAAGCCTCTCGCCTCCCCTCGACAGTTGGTCCACCATTGTCCTCACCTCTCCTTACCGGCGTAGGAATCTTGCCGAACAGTTTTCCGGTTAACGCTTAGGGCTTGGTGGTGCCCAGCAATCCGGAGTCCTGCCTCTACCGAGGCTCATAACCGGAGGAAGAAGTCGTCAGTAATTGGATTGCCAAAGCGATGGTTGGGCCTTTGTGCAAACACCCTTCCTTTACCGATCGAAAAAAGGACTGCCGAAAGGATGGACTCCTGTTGCAGCTAGCGTTCTCACCCTTGGTGTCCTCAGCCTAGTATTGCGCTTGCCACGATGCCGGGGGTGGTTCCACCAAAGACTCCACCGTGTGCGGCGATGGAGCCGAAGTGGTGGGTGAGGCTTTCATTTCGACGGAGAAGCAAAACGGAGAGTCAATCTCCGTCTTAGTGGCTCTCTCGACGGAGCTTCTCATCTTGACTTGACGGCTATGAGAAAGAAGCCAGCGGTGAGCGTAATTTTGAAGTTCCAAATCTTTATATGCATTCGACACGGCTTCAATCTTAATACTGGAGGCTCAAATTCCTTTCTTGCTGGCATCTCGCTGATAGACAGAGAGGGAATTTTCTAATTTGGCTTCAACCACAAACCACCATGGCCCTCCCATCATCCTGCTGCGTCCTCGTTGCCGGCAGTGGCAATGCTGGTTTCTCTGCCGCCGTCGCTGCCAAAGAGGGTGGCGCAAAACATGTGATTCTCATTGACAAGGCCCCCGAGAACTGGGCCGGCGGCAACACGTACTTCACTGCTGGTGCTTATCGTACAGTACACCATGGCGCGGACGACCTACTACCTTTGGTCAATAATGTCGACGAGGCCACCGCCAAACGGATCGACATGGAACCGTACACGGAACGGGACTTTGCCAACGATATGCAGCGGGTATGCGCCGGTAGATCAGATCCAGCCCTAAGCAAGGTCCTGATCCAGGACTCGAATTCCGCCATTAAGTGGCTGAAAAAACAAGGTATTCGATTTCAGCTTTCGTTCAATCGCCAGGCCTACGAAGTGGACGGCCGTCTCAAGTTCTGGGGAGGTCTTGCTCTCAAAACCGAGGACGGCGGCAAAGGGCTAATTGCCGACCACAAATCCAACGCCCGTCGGCACGGTGTACAGTGCTACTACTCGACGGCGCTAGAGCGACTGTTTACGAACCCCCAGACGGGCGCGGTAGAGGCCGTGATGGTCCGATCTAATGGAAAGGAGGTCATGATCAAGACGGGCGCCGTGATTGTCGCCGCCGGTGGCTTCGAGAGCAATCCTCGTCTGCGAGCTCAGCTTTTAGGCCCTAGCTGGGATCTCGCCAAGGTGCGCGGGACCCCCTACAACACCGGGGACGTCCTGGAAACGGTCATTCGCGACGTCAAGGCTAAGCAAGCGGGTAACTGGTCCGGATGTCACTCGGTCGCGTGGGATGCCAACGCGCCCGCCCACGCGGGCGACCAGGTGGCCTCCAACGAATTCACCAAATCTGGCTATCCACTCGGCCTTATGTTCAACACCAAGGGGGAGCGATTCGTTGACGAAGGAATAGACCTGCGTAATTATACCTACGCAAAATTCGGACGAGCTATCCTCCAACAGCCGAATCAGTCGGCCTTCCAGATCTGGGATCAACGGACGATCCCATGGTTGCGGTCAGAAGAGTACCGTCCCGAGCGTGTTCGGCAGATGATGGCCAACTCTATCCCCGAGTTAGCTGAGAAACTCGCCGGAGTTGGTCTCGAGAACCAGCAGGCGTTTATCGACAATATATACCAGTACAACCAGGCCGTGTACGCCTTTCAGAAAGAGAATCCAAACAAGAAGTGGGATCCATCGATTCGCGACGGCAACTCGACGCAGTCCAGGGCCATGAAGCTGCCCCTGGGCAAGACTAACTGGGCACTACCTGTCGATAAGGGCCCCTTCATGGCCGTCCACGTCACCTGCGGCATCACGTTCACTTTTGGTGGCATTGCCGTGAACCCACAGACGGCGGGCGTCATCTCTTCGATCACAGATAAGGAAATCGGAAACCTATTCTGCTGTGGCGAGATGATGGGCGGCCTTTTCTTCGAGAACTACCCCGGCGGTAGCGGGCTGACCTCAGGCACAGTCTTCGGACGACGAGCGGGCGCTGCGGCGGCAAAGGCTGTAAGCCAGTCTGGCCAGGTTCAATCGAGGTTGTAAACGGCTTACCTTGTTGTACCTTGGGCATGTGTCGCGGATACATTGTTGCATTTTGCGTCAGTGTTATTGCGTTGGGTCTGCGGAAGGCAATAAGTGTTGGAGGTTTAGATAAAGTAGTATAAAAAAAAGTGGCATTTCGATACGCCCATCTATTCATTCTACAATCTCTATATCTATTCAACATCGAGATCCCTTAACAAAGTCCCTGTTTCAATGCCTCTTCAGACCAGGCCTTCCGCTGGATGGAAATGGAGATTGCAAGGCTCTGTTCTGTAATATTGAAGGAAAAAGACAGAAGAAATGCCATTTAGCAAACAACGGCCGCGCTCCTCAATGTGCCCATTTACAGCCCCTGTTTGGTCAGAAACGCACTGATCTGCTCATAGGCTGAGAAGATGATGCCCCCGCTGAGCACCAGCCGCCCCAGACGCATTGTGCTCCCTTTCCAGAACCCCCTGATCCCGGCGTCTTGGACGACCGACCGACATGCCTCGACGAGGCCCGTGTTCGCCACGGCTTGGGTCCGTGTCTTGATCGTGTCAAAGGGCTGTGTGGCGTAGACAGTGATGGTGCCAGCCACGGCACCCATGCCAAAAGTCGCCGCGGGACTCTTGTCGAGCTGATACTTCTTGGCTTGTTGTTGCAGAAAATTGTAGCTGCCCATCCTCACCGCTGAGGTGGCAGCCTGCTTGGACGTCGTGGCCGTACAACCACGGTACAACTCTGAAAAGCCCTTTTCGCGGACCATGGACGTCGCGGCATGAAAGCCGCCACGAAACCGCCGTGCTCCTTTGGAGTCGTCTATCATGGCCGTTTTGATCCTCTCCGTAGGCGTCAGTGCGACCACGGACTCAGCCACGCCCGCACACATGCCCGCCAGCACACCGCGGGCGAAGGACACTCTGCCATTCGAATCGGCCAGCAGGGCCTTGATGGTGTCGAAGCAGAGAAAACGCACGCCGGCCTTGCCCGTCGCGCCGATGACCATCGATCCACAGCCCGTGTAGAGGGAGCGGACGCCCCTGGTCTGGATCACAGTCCAGACAACCTTCAGTGGGTTGTTGGAGCCATAGTTGTTTCTCAGCTGAACGCTGGTCTTCGCGAATTCTATGGGATACTGTCCTTGCCTGTTTTAGTATGACGGCCAAGGGAGCAAGCACAAGGCGACGTGAATATTGAGGAGGCTTACAGTCAAAAACCCTTCGAATCCGCCAGCGATGCCTCCAGAGACAAAAGAAACAAAAGGCAAGGGCCTTACTTTCTTCTGGGCCACAATGTGAGTGCGTGAACAAGCGCCATTGAGGCCAATCATCGTAGCAGGGTTCTCATACAGCATTGGGAGTCGTCGAAACCGTCTTCGCAGTTGGGGCACTGATGCCCATCACAACTGGGGCCTCCATTGGAGAGCTACTGGTCAGCTGGTTGTCTGTGATCGTGATATTTAGCCAGGCTCCGTAAGATGATGAGCGTTCTGATACCAACGAACCCTGAGGTATATGCTCCTGGCGCCTTGCCACATGTTCCCACAGCACCCAAGGAAATGTATGCTACGTCCTGGGCCATTGGTGGACCCTTGTACGTTTAGGGTTGGTCGAGCGGCGACACAATGTCCGGCTTGGCCACGAGACCCACGGATAACGGGAGCTTAGCTCGATGGTATCGGCCTGAGATCTCCAGTTGGCTTCCAAAAGAGGCAGCGCAATAGGAACAGCCGGTGTCAAAGTGCTAACCTCGAGAAAGTTAGCAAAGAGCACTAGGTACTCCGTACCTACCTTTATCATCTGAGGTACCTCGTACTTCGCGGCGGATCATGACCTCTCCAAAGTCTGAGAACCCCACCATTTGGCCTGCGCTATGGCGAAGCCACTTTGAGCTGTGGCTGTGCAATCCTGAGCACGGTATGATACACCCACCCTCAGGGGTTAACTGCGTACCGAGCAGAGTTCCGGAAGTGTTACCGAATCAGAACGGCGTCGAAGAGATACATATTCTGAGAGGTAACACAGCACCTGAACCAAACCCTCATTTTGATTCTCCGTCTTGTCATCGACGTGCAGGTTTTCTATTCTCTGCATTATCCCGATGTCGCAGCTGTTCGATAACGACTGCAAAGCGCTCGCTTTATCCAACCCGACGCTTCCAGGATAACAAATATGAGAAATGCAAGCAGCAGATCAAGATAGAGAATCCTGTAGCCCTCCAATGGATTTGACCAAACTTTCGCGACCAGAACTTCCGCCTGTTGTGTTCTTTCGTATCCCCCCTGGCTTTTCGAACTTTGTGAACTTCGTGAACCTTGCAGGGATCCAGTAACCTTCGAGAATCGAATCTCCTGCGTCTCTATATGGTTCTGCTCCTTTTTCATCTTCTGCACCTCCTCAGGATGCTGCATCGCTTCCCTCTTCAACCTCTCCAAGGCACGTTCTCTTCGTAATTGGCTTTCATCATCGAGATTGGGAACGGCATTTCAACGGGAACCGGTCTGGAATGTTGGACCTGGTAGGATCCAGCCACGATTCGGCATTGTCATGTCTTACTGCAACGAAGCTGGCCCATTTTCCCGCGATCCACCACTTCCGCCCTATGCTCTCAGCTTCCTCCCTCTTGCTAGGATCTGATTCCGACGCAGCCTCATGCGTCCAGCTTTGGCCAGCTTCGAGATCGAGCATTATAGCCTTGGCGGCAAGTTGATGGATGGTGGATGACTTGGAGCGAGCATACTCGACTTGTATCTCCTTAAAGGCGGCCATGCCAGATGGCAGTGTGGCCTTGACGGTGACGCCCTTTATAGGTGTGCTTTGTTTATGCTGGAATAGGAAGAAGATCGTAGGCCATGCGAAAGGATTCAGCGAGTAAACGTAGCAGGGTGCTTGAATGTAGGCTGTTCGACGGAAAGAATACTCGGAAGTCTGAGCTGGATGCTCAACCACCTCTGTATCGGATTTTGCTCCAGGCTTGAGGTAGCCAGAAAGCGTTATTACCTCAAATTTCCAAGGTAACTGAGCTCCTTCAAGAATTCTGCTGGTTATTCCTGCCAACTTTTCCGGTCTGTTGACAACTGTTACCTCTCCAAAACCTCCGTCTTGGTTCCCGATTCCTTCAAACAATCTGTGCGAGTCGGCGTAACGAATAACAACCGGGAAGATGCGGAATGCGCCTCTGGACTCTCTGGCGGCATTTGCAGCGAAACCGACTATTTCCTCAATGTCCAGAGGCTCTCCATCTGTCAAGAGGATAAATTGTGCTGAAGTGTCCCAACCCAACCGATGCTCTGTAACAGATTTTAGGACCGGAAGAATTACCTTATCTCCCATGTCAGCTTGAAGGAAGTAATATGTAGCCTAGCAGCTTGTCGCGTCCTCTCCGTGTTTCGCCTCGACTTTAGCCAAAGTGGCCTAAGTATTGATCCAAATGAGTAAATATTAAAATGGCAATGCTCTGGAAGCTTCTTGAGAAACTCTAGCTTTGCTTTTTGAAGCATTTCCTCGACTACCGCCCATGGATTCCGATCCGTCTGCGAGGAAAATGATTTCACACTCTAATTTTTCAGCCGAATATTGTAGGTTGCAAAACTCGTGCTGACACAAAGTAGCCATAAGCGCCGGCCCGCTACACTGATCCGGCGAACCCTCCAGGACTGCCTGGGATACAAGTGGAGGCGTCGAGCTTCACGGTGAGAACGAAGTCCTTTTCCAGCGCGGCCGTGTGGTCTGTGAATGTTACCCGTGCTTCCTTCGAGTCGAATCCCAAAGGCTCTAAAGGAGTCGCAAAATCGCTAAATGTGTGGGAGCTTCCGATTTCTGACGAGATATGGGGAGTAAAACTTTCAAGCTTGCGTACCGCAACATTCGAGATATTGCTAATTTCGATGTTCAGGCCTTCTTTCTCTTGAAATTGACTAACACCAGACTCATCAGTCAGAACCTCATGAACCTCCAAGGAGAGCGTTTCATATCTTGGTGCAACGGATGTCGGAATGGTAACCGGGGCTCCTCCGTCGAAGTTCTGTTTAAGCTTGTTGATATTAACGACCTCTATCTGGACTGATTCCCAAGGATCAATGTAACCAAGCGTGTGCTCTTCAAGTAGTGTTGTAAAGCGCTCTTGTGCAAAGGCACTTTCATACTCGCTCAAGTGTCGACTCATATTTGAAAGCTCCTTCAAGAACTCCAGCAACCCGGAAGGATATGATTTTGGCACCATCATAAAGCGGGAAAGTATAGTTCGAATCTGGGATGCGGATGACTAAGCAGTTTAGGAATGTCTGCGTGAGTATCACATGGAAGAAAAGAAGGAAGTAAGGAATCCACCACACTAGTGGAGATGAACGGCTGCAATAGTACGGTTCTCTAGCTATCTAGCTAACTATTATAGTGGGCTGTCTCTAACGGAGTCTATTAAAGGAAGGAAGTGGGATAGCGAGGTAGAAGTAGCCCTCGGTAGACCTTCCCTATCTTAGCCCGTCACGTATAGGTACGCGTGATAACCTACCTATCCCCCCTGAAAAAAAGCTCCGGCTTTTTACGCGTATTCTTATATGT